TTTTTTTTTTTTTTTTTTTTCATAGTGACCTGTGTGTGAGTTGCATGGGTTGCACATGTTTCTGGAGGAATTTCGGTTCTCCAAGAGGGCTTTTGAAGTGCTGACTTGATTTATGTGGGCTGTCAGGGAGGACATAGGGAGTCTCAGGTATCACCCAGGTCTTTTGCTTGGGGAAGGAAAAGCTGAAGTTGCTCCCTAGAGAGGCTGGTTCCCATGCAGGASAGAAGAGGCCCAAGTCCCTGGGAGGGGACACTGGAAGCCAGCTTTAGGTTTTGGTGTAGTATTTCCAGGGAACATTCAGTAGTGAGGTGYTCAAATCCTGCTGATTTTCCATGGTGTTCCTTTGGGTGCATCAGCCTTCATCTCCCCTTGGCAAAACAGAAGATCAAATAGGAGTGATCTGTTGAGTTGCAAATCCTTTGCTARCACCACCCAAATGTTTAGGGTTAGGTGAACTGATGAGTTTTCAGGTGAGAGCCAGACAGATGCAGAACCAAATGGAGCATCTGCCTGCACTGCCTGGAAGTGACTTGGTAGAGGAGGGGCCTGGCTGAGGTGTGCTGGGGTCTCCAGGGAGGTTTGACTACTTGTTTTAGCACGCAGTGCCTTGGTCTGCAGGCACAAATGGGTGCTTTTAGAGGTGTAACATGTAGCATCACGTTTTTACCAGTGTTTTTTTCATACAGCTAGATGGAAATCTCCACCTGATGAGGATTATCTACACCCTTACCAAAAGCTTTTTATAAAACCATTTTTGTTAATAGTTATAAATGTTCGTTAGGTGTTGTATTATGGCTTTCTTGTTATTTAGAGCAAAGCTGATAAGCTGTGGGTGTTTTAGGAGGGCCCCGGGCATCTCATTTTACAGTGAAAAGCTGGGATGCTTCCCAGGAATCGGGCAGGGAGTATCTCGTAGCAAAGTCTGCAGATTGTTTTTCCCCTTGGCAGAARCAGAGCAGTAGCTGAATCACTGAGCCCTGTGAAGACCTGGAACCTCAGCACCTTTGAATGGGTGTGAGCAGCTCAAAGGGCAGCAGTGTTCTTTGGAATTGTGGTGCACAGTGAAGTTAGTATTGGAGCACTGCTGAAACCACAACTCCTTTAACTTTGGGGCTGTACACACCTGGGGACTTCACTGAACCCTGCTGATGGTGGGGCACCAGGATACACTGTGTGTGCAGCAATCACAGGGCTGACAAGTGGAGAATTTCTCATTTAAATGAAAGCTTGTCTGAGTCTGTTTTGTCTGTGAGTGATGATAATGGTGCCATTTCCACAGGGAATGAGCAGAGGCATCCTTTACTGACTGCCCCTGGGAGAGTACCAAAACTGAAAGRAGACGTTTGCCTGTAGTGGAGAGGAGGGGGAGGCAGGGAGAGACAGGTCCTGGTGGAACAAGGAAAGCTGAAGGATCATGGCACTTGAACCGGTGGGTGTGTGCAGATTGCAGAGCTTATCTCACTGCRAGGAACCAAGCAAATAAGTACTGGCCTGAATACATCTCTTCAAKATTACAGCAGTATATGCTTCTCCTCCCTTCCTCTTGGGACCTCAGCTGGGTTTGCAAGCTAAAGAAAATGCTGCCAAAAGGAAAGAAAAAGGAAGTAGTTGAGGCAGAGGAGCAATCAGTCTTTCAGCCAGGATACAGTAGCAATGGGAACTGAAAGGAATAAGGAGCCTCATTCATGTGGCACTGGAGTTATCATAATCTCTGACGTCGCTAWAAGGTACTTAAAATGTCACTGACGTGAGTCTGATGGCATTTTTGTCCTTCACTCTCAATGTGTACATGAAGATCTGCAGCAAGGTCAGGGGTCAAGAACATGACATGAAAACGGATACAGAAAACTTGTGTTTACCAACTCTGTGATTTTTTGGGTGGGGAGTACCTGTCCATCTTTGTACAGACAGCCCTGTCACTCAGTGATGAATGGAACCAATCTGCCAGGTTTTCCAGGCACTCGATCTCACCCAGGCCTCATGATCTCCTTGAAATCACCTCTCCAGCAAGGATGATTGCACAGTAGYGGATAAGCAGTATAACAAGGCATGCAATGTGTGTTATTTAGAGTTTGATATGGGAATTACTTGGTTAAATTGAGCCATGGGAGGGTGGGTTCAAGTTCCAGAGAAATTCTAAAGTAAAGCCAGGATAACCGAGCATTGCATTGTGTATGACAGTGTGAAGGCTTTTCTCATTTGTCTTTGAATGACGTGTGTGTAAACAGAGGGCTTGGTTCTTCTGGAATAARTAGGTGGCAATGTTGGAAAGGCAGCAGCTGTACCTGCACAGGGTCCTCCCTGCCAGAGTGTCAGAGCAGAATTCTAACGGGGAGGACCCTTGTGAAGGTACAATTTCTGCCAAAAGGCATMAGGGTCTATTTACAGATTATATCTATGTGCGTGTGTGGACAGATGGGAATGATGATACCAGAGGTGCAAAGATTCTAGGGGGGTTCTTTTAAATGCAGCTGTGGATTCTTCAGCATGAATCTAGCCTCCTGTAAAAAGGGGGCAAAAACCAGTTACATCTGATGGAGAAGGGTCAATGTGATTGTGAAAGTCAGATTATGCACAGATTGGAAAGAATAGGACAGACTTGCTGTTTCTGTATCAGTTACATATGCAGCCCCCACCACCAGAATCATCCTGCCACTGTATTCTTCTTAATCTGATGCCACATTGGTATGGCAAGGAAATCCCACCACTGAAGCAGCACACCGTCACATTAGGCCCTTCAAAATTAAGTGACAATCTTAGCAAACCCAGTTAGGAGCATGTGTAAGGAAAGCTTGGCTGTGCTGGCTGTTCCTGAAAAGAGAGGTGCTGCTGAAAAGAAGAGAGATGCTGCTAGAAGAACTGTGGTCTTGCTCTGCAGATCGATGTTGTCTGACACGTGGAAATAAATCATACCAACTGGTCCCAGAAAATGCTGGTGTTCAGCATGGCTTGTGTTGAATTTTTAGTGAATGGGATACAGTAAGTAACGAAACTCCTTCTTGTGAGTGTGAAATAGCAACCCTTGGAGCAAAAAATGTCACCAGGGGCTTTGAGCCTGGTGGTAAGTGGAAATGCACTTGTTGAATTTTGAGGGTGGGACTGACATTTCAGACTGAGCACTGGGTTTGGTTTCATTTCTRACAGCCTTCGAGATCTGCATTCAACCTGTTGGATCACGTGAGCCAAGACTACTGCTGGTTCTGCCGTGCTGAGATGGAGTGTGGCAAATGCTGGGAAGTGGCTTACAGGGCATGTTTTTGGTCCCTGCTCTTTTCCAAAGATCCCTTTGTTCAGGCTCTCAGCTGCAGCGCGGGCGGTTGCTTGTCGCATGATGCGAAAGGGAACAGAGATTTCTTTGTTGTCCGGGGCGGCTGTCCTGCGGGTAGAAATTGAACTGAAATCAGCAATTTCCATCCCTTTCCGAATCTGGCTACTGTGTGCTCAGGCATGAGTTTACTGATGTGTGTATGTGTGGTGATTTGGGTTTGTCATCGTGGTGGTAAAAGAGAAACCTGTCATTTCTTCTTAATGACGTTGTCTAAGGTTAAAAACCACMATTTCAGAGGGGACATCTGCTGGGATCGGTGTTTGCATAAACACTTGTTAAGAGTGGCAAAGCTACCGAGTGCAGCACTCAGGAATCTTGCTGAACTGTGGCTACTCAGGATCCCTCTGCTTCMCGCTGAGGACAGAAGTTTTTGCTAAAAGCCACTCGTGCCAAGAAAATTATCCAGAATTGCTGACTAGTGTCAGTGGCATGTRGGGCTGGAGTGATGCTGCTGACATTTTAACACCAGCAGAAAGCACAGTCAGCACTGTTTCAGGAAATAGCCATCGGAGCTGGCGTGGAGCAGGGCACAGAGTCTGTTTTGCAGCAGGATGGGGTTGGAGGTGGCCCCTGTTGCATTGGCTTCCACAGCTTTAAAGAAACTGCCTTTGCACAGTGCTGCAGCACTCAGCAAGCACTCAGCAAGTGGCTGCCCTCAGCAACAGGTTTTCCTTGCTTTTTCCTTGTGTAGCCTAAGGCAAAAGATCAGGATCATTGTGACTGCAGGGAGTGAATGGAAAAAAAAGAGAGGTGGAAAGGAAAAATGGATAAAAATCACTTTTTTTTCCCTCTTTCAGGCAAGGTGTGCTGAGAGTCGGAGATGAAGGCTAAAATTATGTTGGTTAAAATCCTTCCGAATATTGTATCTGGAAAAGGCAAAGACTTATTTAGAGAGTAATTTCRCTTGCTAACTGAGATTTTATAGGCTTTCAAGTAAGATTTAGCAGATACATGTAAGAATGTAAACTAGGTATAGATGTGCTRTAATGCCATTTTTCAATTGTCAACCTTGGCACAGTATGTATGAATATTATAGCATGTCTGGTTATGACATAGTTGAGTAATTTAGCATATTACAGTTTTTACAGAAAGCGTTCCCAATTTATTTTAAGAAGCCCTTTCATTCTGTGACTTTATTTTCCATGTTTTAGAGGCCAAAATATTTAAAGAATGGGTAAAAGGGTCAATCAGGGGGTGAAATGGAGCATATACTGGAAGGAAGGTGGAAGGATGTTGGGGGGTGGGGGGTGGAGGATGGTTTGGATATGGATGTGGGAGCCTTGACAGCTCCTGTAGGATCTGTCCTGTTGGGGAWCCCAGAGGGTCAATGCCTATGCACTGAAGCGTAATGGGATAGACAGGAGATGGCAGAAGCAATTTCTGCCCWCCATGGGGTTTGCTTTAGTGTACTTAATAGTGGTTTATGCCTGCCAGTATCTTTACTGGGCGCTGTGCCTGCACTCAGCTGCTGTGCCTCCTGCTTCTTCTTGCTGCTCATCCACAGGCAGTATCACCCRGCTGCTTTGTGGAAAAGAGGAAATKGGTGCATGCTGGCGAAATTTTCTGGAGCAGCAATTCATTGGCATGGTGGAGAGGAAAATGCAGCATTTACAGTGCAATAAATACTTTGGCTCTGTGGAAAGCCTGGTGGGTGTCGTGGAAAATTGGCAGGTTTTCTGCTCTCAAAATTTTCTGCTCGACATTGCTGTAGTCAAAAGGGAACATTGAGTCATTAGCTCTTGTGTCAGATAACTGCACAGAAACTCGGGCTGCCGCTGAATGTGCGCATTCCTGGGAAGGCATATCCATTTGAAAAGCCAAGTTTTTCTTATCTTTGCATTGACCTTTTTTTTTTTTCTTTTGTCTTTTTTCTAATGCCTGTACGATTTATCTCTTGCTTTCTTAAAATGTTTCTTTCAATAAATGAGATAAACCTGCTCAGTTCAAGAAGAACCATGAAGTTTTGCTCGCTTGGTGCCTGCCTGAGTCCTGGGGTGGGCCCACAGCCAAGTGAGCATTTCAGTTCGAGTAGGATTTGGACAAAACAAAGTAACTAATTATTCTTTGCAGCCKTCTCTCCAGGTTTGTGTCAGTTTGGACTCTGGCTCTGAGTGCAGTGGGGCTTGGCACAGAGCTAGGACAGCTTTCAGTGTGCTGGTTGAATGCACACAGGCAGCTGCAGCACGGAGTGCCAGGTCTGCTCTGCGAAAAYCTGGGAAAATCAAGTGTCTGCTTTTTAGCAGCCGTGTGTATGCTACTGCAAAGGACTCCTGAGTGGTTTTATCCATGTGATGTGAAAACTGATGGCCATGGCTGTTAGCCTCAGGAAGAAATCGTTACCCACCCTGGCAGTGTGAGCCTGGTGCTACCAGAGTTTAGTTACTTTTCTGTGCTGTCGTAAGCACAATGGACTTCTTCCTAACTTTCTCCAGACTTTTCCAATTACTCTGGAGCTTGCAGTGCCCCAGAAGAAGTGATATTTTGTTTACCATCCTTTGCATAACAAAGTTCAGCAAGATGTTGATGTCCCTCCTCTTGGGCCAGAAGAAGTGAGACGTGACTGACARTCCCTTGACCAGGGACTGTAAGAACCAGCATGAATGGGACTGAGTAGTGRTGGAAGGAGAGACCTGGAGGTGAAATCCTGTTGGAATCATGACAAGCCAGAGACAGAAACACATCATCTGTTTCTCCTTCATACTGCCCCTTATTTGTTTATTTGCTTGAACAGAGATTCAGGTTTTCTCAGAGGYAGTTAAAGGGTGATGCTGCTTTCAAAACAGCCTCTCACAATCACAGGGTAATGCCTGAAGCAAAGAAACTGGCTTGATGTGCCATTTTCCTAGGTAAGAGAGGTAGGTGTCAGATAGTCTAGCTCTGTTTTGGTGGAAAATCCTTAGGGTCTTCAGCAGGCACAACTGAGGTCTGAAATGAGTGATTTAAAAGAGCTAAGTGAAGAGCTGTGTTGTCCTCACATCAGTGSATAACCAGCAAGACTATCTTATACAATAAGTGGCAGAAACTTGGGCTGTGAACAGCCCTGAGCAGTCACTGCTTTTGTGAGGGTCCTTAAGCAGGTTTAGATGTATGTAAAGGTTGTTGGGAAGGATGGGAGAATAAAGGAAGTGTCATTGTACCCAGACAGGACTATTGCTGTGCAATTTTTTTTGCAAAAGTCTTTCATTGTGGAGATTTGATGACCATTGAGACCACAGTTAACGCCTCTCTCAGGGCAGKTGATAGTGATGTCACCTACATCTTGTGGCTTCAGTGAACCACATGGTCCTAAGCTGTTGAGCCACCATGACAAGCTACATGTGTTGTCACCCAACCATGCCACCCCCTCGGGTCCCACTTGTGACTTCTGTCTCCCTCCTCTCTCTTCCAGGTACCTGTGTGAAGTGCAGCAAGGGCGTGTATGGAGCAAACCAAGCTTGCCAGGCCATGGGCAACCTCTACCAYGACAGCTGCTTCACCTGTGGAGCCTGCAGTGAGTATCCCTGCCCTGGTCTGATGCTGGTGCCAGACACTGCAGCAAACTCTTTGGACTTAACATTTTTCTGGAATAAAGAAGGGGCAAAAAGGAAGTGGTTATTAAACTATCTGCCAGCTGRAGTCTGCTGCAGCTGTATGACTTGGTAGTGGTGGTGGTGCTTGCTGTTTGTTTTTGAATGGATTGTTGCAAGGCATGTAGAAAAGGTATTTTGGATTGTGCCAAGCTTCTGCCTTCTGGTATGGGGGATGTTTGTTTTCATTCCTACGTCTCTTAGTTAGAGCCACATTTTCTTACTTACAAGAGTATTTTTTCAAAGTGGCAGTGAGTATGCCTTATCTGGCATGTTTTTTGTCTCAGCAGGCTTTACTTTTCAGGTGGAGCTGCTTCATGGTAAATCCAGTGAGCGTTTTCACTGTGTGTGTTATCTTTTACTTTCTAAAACCATTTTGTCCTTCTGAAAGACCTCCAGTCAAAGCATCRAAGTGCATGAATGACCCAGGTTACACATCTTGATTGTTTTTATTCCAGAGAAATGCAGCCATGCCCTGTAATGAAGGGCATGTTTCTGTCAGCTTGGTGTATGGTTTTTGCATGGAGGGAACTGGTGCAGAGCTGTCAGGCTGGGAGTGGTGATGATGAGCCCTGTGAAATCTACACAAGAAGCAGAGTAAATAGTTCAGCTGACCCTGGTGAGCTCCCTGTGGGTCTCTTGTTAGACYCACATCWGKAGCTTGCTGGGGCGTGCAGCAATGYGTGGATTCTCCTAAGCAGCTYTTTGAGGKCTGTGGTGGAGCTGGAGTGAAGAACAGGCCACTTGATTTCAAATCATAGCTGTGCTTGTAAGACAGTGTTTTTTCTATTTTTTTTATGTTTAGCTCCAATGATAGTAGCATATTTTTAGAACTGTAGCTGTATATGTGGTGGCAGAAAAAATAATAATCTGCTGCTGCTTTTGTATATATGAGTTTGGTTTTCCCAGACGAGGCTTAGGGTTTTTCCTCCTGGATTGTATTTAGAGTTGTAAACTCATCAGGACTGCATGTGTTTTATTTGGAGCTGTAAAGTGGGAATAAATATAGAAAGATGCATATGCTTTTTAATAATAGCTGAGCCTTAAGCTATGCCCATTTCCCAGCTGTCCAGCACCAGCTGCCCCGCCTCACCTATGTTTTTAGTAGAGCATTTCACCATCATCTGACTGAAAATGGGAAAACTGAAAAGAAAAAGTGGTTTTTGCAGGTAGTGGCAGTTTCCTAGASGCTCAGCAGTCAGCAGCTCACTCTTCTGTCCTCTCTTACAAATTAATTTGAAATTAATAATGTTCTCCCATGGAAAGGATTCCTGGCTGCAACCAGGGCTTGCTTCAGTTACCTCTTGCCCTCTAGGGCCAGGCAGTCTCTGAATTGCCCTTGTACTCAGAGCTCCTATTAAAAATAATCCAGCAACATGTTTGGACTGTCTTAAATTTCTGAAATTACTACTGTGCAACTGGTGCTTTAGGAAGAAACACTTTTGATCCTGCTTTTAAAATTACTTTTATGATCTTTATTTGGAGACCAGAGCTAGAAAGGTACTTGCGGTTGCAGAGGTATCCGTGGTTACGTCTGTTTGTTTGTCTGTGTTTGGTTAAAAATTAGCTTAATGCCATTTCTAATGAGGTGGGTTGGTGAGGGTTGAAAGAATGGCTACTTGCTGCTTATTCTAAAAGTCAATCCTTTCCAAAGGTTTCCAATGCAACATGAAAAGGTGTAGATGTCAGGTGAGACTTAGAAAGATAGAAAGAAGTCAGGTTTAGCAAAGTGAAGCCCATTTTCTCTCTTACTCAGACTGTAATTGAGAAATRTGCTGAGTAGATGTGCTGGGGCAAAGGGTTTCAAACTGAAAGCAAAATTAAAAAATAAGGCTAGTGAAAATGATGGGGAGGTGGGAAAGAAAGAGGTGTGGGAGCAATAATACTTCCCTCAGTAAAAAATACTGTATTCTAATACAAGATAAAAAACGGGAATGCAAGTCTTGGGCATATAAATGAGAGCCTTGTTACATTTGGACAATAGTCATGAAAGCTCAAGTCCTTCCCATTGTGGTAGTGGCCATACTAAAAAACAAACTCCAGGCAGCCAGCAGGATGGCATGGGTAGATGGAGGGAGAGCTGTGTGGTGGCATGCGATTCCCAGCACCCTACAAAGAGTTGTGCTGGAGGAAGGCCCCCACAGTAGTGGTGTTTCCCTCCTGTGTACAGGCCTCTAGAGCAGCAAGAKCTGCAAGAAACCCTTCAGTGCAGGGGGAGGTTTCCTGCACTGCTCCTGCGGTCTGTGGGGCCCTCATGCACCAGTCGCTCTGGGGCTGCCTGGTCTGTGCTGGGCTGCCTTTCTGATTCATCAAACCCCTGCACTGGGGCTGTCTGATGCTGCCTGGGGATGCATGTGCCATCCTGCCCTGTGCTCAGGGAGGAAACCTACCCAAGGGAAATCCCCCCTTTTGAAGCCCAAAGTAATTTCCCAGCCCCACAGACCATCAGTTGCTATGGGGATAAAGGGCACTTTCACTTTACAGCTCTGTCGTTCATCCTGAAAGGACACATGCCCCTCTGCAGGCTTTCTGCCACCTGTGTCACTGCAGCAAATGGGATGAGAACGTTTTATCTGCCAAAAAGATAAATATTTGTTTGGATGGTGTTGTCTTTCTAGCTGCAAAGCACATTTTGAGCAGCCTATGTGGAAACTGGTTTCTAGTTTAAAAGTAAGTAGTGCTTTTAAGGTCAAGTGGAGTTCATCTTGGACACCATCCAGAACCAACTTGACTTTGAGAAGGTTGCTCATGATTTCAAGCCTAAAATTTCTGCTCTGGTGGAACACTGGATATCCCCCACTCCAATAAATAAAACACACAAAATTACCTATTAAGGTAAAGCATATTGTGCTCCAGATATTTATAAACACTGTCCTGCTGTTTTTATTTTAGCAAGCATTYCCAATTTTGCTCCTAGCTGTATTTGTGTTCGAATGTGCATTAGTTTCCCTGACAGAGAAAATCAAGAGGGTCTGAGAAGCAAGGGTTATGTGGGGGGGTGATACCTCATAGTGCCAAATTTCCTTCACCCTCTGCTTCCCAATACACATATCTTCAGAGATAAATGATAGAGCTGTTTGTTGAACAGGGCTGCATATACATTACAGGGTTTAGTTAGTAGGAAAAAAATGTACTGTCTTATCTGAGCCACTGGCATGTAATGCAGAAAATTTGGCTTAGAGGTCAAAACAGCAGATTTAGAATTACTACTTTGGCATAAATGTCTCATTTATCTTGTTTGTTACAGGGCAGAGGCACAAACAAGGCAGGCTTTTGCAGAGAGGGAGACGAAAAAAACTTCAGGCTCTTTCTGCAGGATTAGTAATAAATGATATTTGCTTTACAGGAGGGCCACAAATATAGGTTAAAAAAAACCCAAAAAACGCCTTGAGCTATTTCCTGCAAGCTCAAGGTGTCTGTTTCCGCCTTGGGGTTTGGGTTTTTTTGGGTTTTTTTTGCAGCTTGTTGGACAAACAGTTGTACCTATCAAATGGTTTCTTACACATTAACCATTTAAATTAAATCACTACTTTATACCTCCTGAGAACACAAAAAAAACATGTGTTTCCAGATGCTGATATTTACTATGTAGGTAGTGAGGAGACCTTAATAAATTATATACAAACTATTCAGTATCACTCTAACCTACTGTATTGGTTTTTGTGTTTTCTTTAGAATTCAGCCAGGCTTATATCCAAATGCCACAGGTTGCTTGGAAAACAAACCTTTTTAGCTCTGCTAGCAGTGTAATTTAGAGTCTAAGGGTCTTGTACTCGAGCCACTTGGTCCTCAAAGGAAATCTGAAAGCTAAAAAATCTCAAGGGAAGTGTTAGAGATGGCTGTGAAGGAARTAAGTAGGCGAGGAAGGAAGTCAGAAAGAAAGAACTGATCGCAAGGTGATTGGAAGGAGGGTTTGATGTTGAACTACAATATAAGGGCCAAAGTGAGGAACAGATTTTGGTACCTTACCGCAGAGTTGGAAACCTTGCACGTTTGCTAGATTTACAGAATTTGCTTTGACATCTCAGCATCACTGCATTACTTTATTTTTCTTTTCTATTTTTGCAAGATGGGATTAATGCTAATGTCAGTGTAAGGGTTAACTGGCTGCTGTTCCACTGACAGGCTTTGAAATCACCCGAGCTGGCTGCCTCTTGCCACCCTCTGGGTATATATATATATTTTATTTAATATTTCGCAACATAGTTGTGTTTAGAGGTATCAAGGGTCTTTTACTAAACTAGATAGCTAAGCTATCAAAGCAGTATTTTCTTCAAACATAATCCTCTGCTTGGGCTAATTAATCTTGCTGCAGTGATTATAAAGCATGGCTACATAGAGCAATGCAGCTCTTGGTGTCTTTGGGCTAATTATGTTGAATAAACATGTCCAGTATTGGTGTGTAACTCCTAGAACACGAAGGCCAGGGTTTTTATTGGCACTGTYCAGCAACTTTACAAGTAGAAAGTCACCTTTTGCTGTCCATGTGATTTAATCCCAGACAGCAGGATAGCCAGCCTTGCCAAATAAATTTCCCCGCAGCCACATGTATATGTGTGGTTATCTTCAGATGCAGAAACAGCCATCTCTTCTAGCGGAGGCAGAATTTACTGCCTATAATTGGATAAAAATCCACCACACCGAACAACTGATATGAGAAATGTGCAAATCTTCATAGTGGAGAGAGCAAAGCTTTGCTAATAATCTATCCTCAACATCTCTTCAATAAAAATTATCACGCCAGAGTCTGCATAGTAAACAATGCAGGGGTTTTTTTTAGCAAAAGTCATGTCAGAAAAGATTCAAGTCTGCCTGGATTAGGGGACATGAAATTCATCAGTGCATTTTTCTGCTTCAGTCAGTCTAAGCTGCTGTTATTTTCTTGCTGACTTTTCAGTCTAAGCTGCTGTTATTTTCTTGCTGA